GACAATTGACAACTCCTTAACGAAGGATAGTACAGTGGTACCTCTACTTACTTTCACCTCTGGTTATGTATCCTTCGGGATACGTGCGCGGCAAACCCGGAAGTATTTTTCTGGGTTTTGCCGCATGCGCAGAAGCGCTAAACCACGCCGTGCGCATTCTCAGAAGCGGCACCTCCGGATACGCACACCTCGAGATCCCACTGGAGCTCCGGAAAGGATCCCGTGTGCAACCGGAGGTACCCCTGTATTTATTATTTCTATATTAACACAAAATAAATACTATCCTTCGTTTTGGAGTTGTCAGTTATAGAAGCATGGACATCTCAAGAAACCCTTTTAAGGTGGAAGAACAGATTGGCGTAGCTCAGAAAGTAGAAAAGGCCTTTTCTCTGAGCACCATAAATAGCTATTTTGTGTTGCGGAAGTAGCTAGCCGGGTGCTAATGATCAGTGTGTGTCATTCTTGAATAGCTTAGCTAAGAGGGCAAGCAATACACATATCAAACTAATTTGCATTTATTCCTGCAGTGCCTTTCATACATTATAGGTGTGGGATAGAGTTAGTGTGAATAATAGTGGATAGGATCGCAGAGCTTTCTTTATCTGTGAAACTGCTGCTATGGTTCTGTTTAAATTATATGCAAAGGAGCCATCTAGTGCCAACCTCTTTAATGCAAATCTAAGCTGAAATATTAAATTCTTTAATAAAAGTTGAGGCTGTACAGCACTTTTGACAATGACTGGAGCTATACTGGGTTGGATCTGGAGCAAGCTAGCTGCTTTTCGTTCCCATTGAAATCTGTGGAACTTAAGTTAAATGGGTTCCTTAAATCTGATCCTTACATTATTCCAATGGGAGACAGTCAGCTGATCAAAGTAAGTATTGAATATATACTTTCTCCTTTCCATTTTGGCAAGTTATTCATTTGTCCAAAGGTCAAAGTACAGGTTTTGAGAAGCACACACTTAAAAGTGCATGCTTACAATCAACAACCAGAGGAAGCTCTGTTACAATTTCCCCCACATAAAATGTACTCTCTTATTTGTCTCCAACGTGCTGTTTGTTGCATCAAATCACCCACTGAGGGCTGTATTGTTGGTTTTGACTCATGACAGGGCCTTTTCAGTGGCAGTTCCCCATTTGTGGAATGCCCTCCGTAGTGAGGTCTGTCTGTATTCCTTATTATTGATTTTAAGAGAAATTTAGAAACATTCCTGTTTATGCAGGCATTTCATTTGATGGCTGAAGAACACTGTTCCGAGAAATCCTGAGAACGTTGTTTTAACAATGTTTTAACTGTTTTTAGATTGCATTTTAACTTTTTTAGAATGCTTAAAAAAATTATTCCTGTGTTGGCTGTCCTGGGCTCCTTTGGGAGGAAGGGCAGGATGTAAATTGAACAAACAAACAAACAAATAATAAAGAGCAGTCTTTACAGCTGATTTTCAGTGGGAAAATGCCATCGGATTCAGATCAGAGACCTATTACAGTCTTTGCTTCTGAATGAAAGAGAGCTGCTTATTGTAAGCACAAAGTTTGACCCTAACAATGCTTTGACACATTGCAGCCAGCCACTTGGGTGCAGATAATTACCCTAACATACTAGGGACGTGGGTGGCGCTGTGGTCTAAACCACAGAGCCTAGGGCTTGCCAATCAGAAGGTCGGCGGTTTGAATCCCCGTGACGGAGTGAGCTCCCGTTGCTTGGTCCCTGCTCCTGCCAACCTAGCAGTTCGAAAGCACGCCAAAGCGCAAGTAGATAAATAGGTACTGCTCTGGCGGGAAGGTAAACGGCGTTTCCGTGTGATGCTCTGGTTCGCCAGAAGCGGCTTAGTCATGCTAGCCACATGACCTGGAAGTTGTATGCCGGCTCCCTCGGCCAATAAAGCGAGATGAGCGCCGCAATCCCAGAGTCGTCCGCGACTGGACCTAACGGTCAGGGGTCCCTTTACCTTTACTAGGGAGATACAGAAACTGCATAAGTAACCTTCTCTCTTTACCCCTCCTCCCCCTCCCATGTGTAGGTCTTGACTTTCCTGGGTGTGGGGTGGGATAGGAATATATTGTGAAAATGGTATGACTGCATACTCTTCAATTTAATGTTTAAATTGATGAAGTTGTTGGCATAGAAAATTCAGTTTCTCTGGAGATGTACCAATTGGCTCCTGAGTGTGTGCATGTCCACCATCAGCCTTAACACGAGCATAACATGTGTCAGTCCAAGAGCCGATCTGGTCTAGTATTGTGTTTCTCACAATGGTCCATGATAGACTTAGGGAAAGTCCATAAGCAGGATACAAGCACAACAGCCCTTACCTGCTGTTGCTCCCCAGTGACTGGTATTTTAGAGGCGGGCTGCTCATTGATTGAGGAAGTAGCATACAGCCACTGTGCTATGAGCACAGGATCAGGCTCGGGTTTGCAGCTCCTGATCCAGGAATAGGAGGAGGAAGGAGGAGGAGGAGGAGGAAAAAGAAGAAGAAGAAGAAGCAAAAGGGGCACTGATTTGTGGGAACCAAAGTTGGGGGGGGGCTCTCCCCATTGCGTCTTGACTTCAGCTGCTTCTTAAGGTTGAACAGGGATCCTCTTCTGTTCACTTTCTCCATGCATAATTTTTACAGGGGGGGACTGCATCAGCCATTTTGCTGCCCATTTCCCCAATCTGGAGATACCCTTTCGAAACGCCTTGCAATCCTTTTCTTTACCATGTCCTGAATAATTGATGCCACCAGCAAACCATTCACGGACAAGTTATTTTTATTAGAATCACAGAGTTGGAAGGGACCACGGGGAGCATCTAGTCCAACCATCTGCAGTGCAGAAATATGCAGCTTTCCCATACCAGGATTGAACCTGCAACCCTGGCGTGATCATCAGCACCACTCTCTGACCAGCTGAGCTATCTAGGCTTAAAAGCACTGTTCCCAATACAGACTTATTTGTGTTGGGTTCCACTTTTTATTGGTCCTCATCCATTCAGTTATCGATTCTAGACATTCCCTCACCTTTCCTGAATCAGAGGTAAAAGAGATTATTAAGTTGGCCTCTGCTGCTCTGTGGCTAAAGGGCACAATGCTGAACAAAGAGATCCTTGGCTCTAGTGCCGCCATTTCAGGGCATTTTGTAAAACCGGCTTTGTCCACATAGCATTGCTTTCCTGTAATAATTTTAATCTTTACCTGCTTTCCTGTAATAATTTCACTGCTGTGTTGATCTGAAACCTCTTACAGTTATCGTCAGTCGGAAGATTTTATCTGATGGTCCTGATGTCACTGTCTTGGCAGTTGTTTTATTGAAAGAAATTTAATAATGTGGAATCAGTATTTTGAAGGCATTAGTTCTGATATTTAATTTCCTGCCTGTCTGCAAAGAAGCAGTCGCTGCTTAAGGCGGGTCAGTTTTTCTTTTCTTTTCTTAAATGTATGTATGTCAGAACAACTATAGTAACAATTTAATATGACTGGTGGGAAAGCACACATGTGGTAAGGGAACACAGCTAGAGGCTTTGATGATCTATTTCATTTTAGTTGTTGCAGTAATGTACAAATGCAGCTCTCCTGAATTCAAGCTGTGCCTGGAATAACTGAGGGCTGCGCTTACCCTGAATGACATTTAAGTCAATGGGGAAGCAAATAGTTATGTATATTTTTTTGGGGGGGGGAAAGAAAAATGACTGAATAAAACCTTCCTCAAAGATTTAACATATCACAAAATTGTACAAGGTATATGATAATGGTTTCATTCCATTTCAAATTATTATCCGTTAATTTTTAGTACATTATTTTAAAAATGCTTTTATGGGATTGTTGTAAATTTTGTAGCTAGGTATTAAGTTGCATAGGTTAGATGAAGCATCCTCTTTTATGGCATTAAGGAGTGAATCAATTGTGGGGTTTTTGTCTAAAATTTAAGAAGGCAGATCCATTAGATCACACATTTTAATCATAATGAAGGCTAGTAATAATGTGTTAAAATAAACTTCAAATTCTCAGAGATGGATACATTTCATATATTTATGATGAACTGTGTTATACTTTTGCTCTAGTCTTAACAGATAAATGGTTCGTGTACAAGTTGCTGTGGCTTAATCATTTTGAGAACCTAAGAAATACATAGTTTTTCCACTTAAGTAGAAGAGATTCATCTTACCTAGTAGTGTGCTAACTGTAGATAATCCCCGCAAGATATTTTTGGCACTTATCGCTCAGTGTTCTGATACTCTTGTTCCTTCCAATTTGCCTTCTGATTTTTGTGTGGCGGTATCCATAGCAACTACCATCATTTCAATTTCCTCTTTTCCCCTCTATTGGTGAACACTACTCATGCCATGTGAACTGCTAAGTCTCATCTTTGCTGCTGCTCTAGTCAATCTGTGTTTTTTTTTACAGAATACATTGGAGCTGCTCCATTTTCTTGAAGAGCAAACCATTAAATTAACTGTCTAATTGCAATTTTTTTTCTGCACGATGAAGCACCTGGATATACAATATTGTAGATGCCCTAGAGTTTGTATGAAAGGCTTGTACATACTATTTTTTTTTCATTCTGTCCAGACTAGGATTAAGTTTCTTTTATGTCCATTTACTAATCTTTAGCTGGTGTAACAGTGTATATTTCCAGTAAAACCATAGGCTGAATGCCTATTTATTTCAGATATACGAGATAGGAGGAACTCGGGCTAGTATCATGTCATATGAAAGGCAGAAGCTGCTCCCCTCTGGCATATTCTGCTCATTTTATTCATTTAGAATTTTCCCACCTGAAGTCGTTGTTCCAGAAATACTTGAAGGGGAAAAGAGAGAAAGAGACAGACAGACAGACAGACAGACAGACATCATATCGTTGATATGCATTACCATTTCAAAAACTAATACTATAAAAGTACAATATAGACATAGTTAACAAAGAGGTGGTTGCTTCTGGCATCACATACGGGGCCTTCTCACCTGACAGATTTGGGGGTGTCTATGAAGATACCACTGGGGAAGGAGTCCCAATGTTAAGAATGGTTGAACACATTGGAAGGCACACACACCTGAGGGGCCCACTGTGGATCTTCCAGGGACCCCAGGCGACCACTTCCATCTTGCTATTGCTGCTTATTCACCTGCAAGCGATGACAAGAGCAAAGTGAGAAGGCGCATCGGTTTCCACTCTTCTTGCCCTCTTGATGGTTCTGCATTTGCAACAAATTAGTGTATGGCACAATATGACCTAGCAGCTGTGGTACCTGCCTCTGGGTAGCTATGTGGCTTTTTTTCCAGAGAGGGGAAGACAAGCAAACAGGCAACAGTAACGTCAAGGAAGAGGTCCAACCGCAAACATGTTTTCCAGTGCCCCCAAATCTGGAACTGACACAGGTTGCTATAACTCTTAACTTGATGCACGTGGGGCTTTTTGACTTGTTTATATACCATACCCTGCAAACGTTCATTTATTTCTTTATGGAATGTCTAAACCACCCTGCATCAAAATAGATTCCAGGGTGGTGTGCAATTAGTTGAAAACAAATATCATAATGTGGAGTTTCAGAAATGTCATCACTGCCTCCCTTCCTTTGCAGTAAAAGTCTTTCATGTTGAGGTCTTTCTAAACAGCCTGGAATCATTTTCATTTTCTGCATGCTTTCCACCCTATTACTTCATAGCTATAATTACACACGCAAACACACACAAACACAAACACAGAGAGGGAGGGAGGGAGAGAGATCTGTTGAATAAAGTACCAAATCAGTGTCATTCAAGGACTGGGACCAGGGATGCGCTCCTGTTTTCTCTCCCTATTTCTTTTTCATAAATAACAGTTAAGCTGTTAGATGTAAGCTTTGTGGAATACTGGCCCCCGGCTTTCTAGATTGAAGGACATAACAATTGCTGGAAGTCAGTAGACCCAGTAGAGCAGATACTTCTTCATCAAACATTTGGCAGAAAAGTTATTCTTGTTGACGCTTCTCTCTTTCAGTAATGGTAACTAATCAGAGAGATTTCTGCTGTCTCAGTTGCATTAATGACTTCCTTTCAGTGCTGGTGCTACCTGTGCAAAGTGAAGCTTCTTGTCTCAGGCAGCAGACACGGGGGACAGTGACAGCAGCTCCTCAGCTATTCCTGCGGAGCCCCTTGGCCATACCCTTCTGTTGCAAAGCTGCGTGTGCCATGGTGCTTGCTCGCCCTCTCCATAACCACCCTACTGTCCTCAAGTGTAGTGGAGGACCCTACCCATTGCTTGAATTATGTGTTTGCTTTATAAATGAAAGTGCATCTTTTTTTAATGAAGTCCACTGGAAAAGGAAATTTTCAGAATGTTAAGCCAACACGGTCTTATTAACTGAGCGTTATTGCATGGCTCTTTAGGAAAAGAGGTCATTATTTCAAACCTTTGCAGATGCTACTACGTATCTTGCATAAGCTTGGTTGTAAATAAACAAGTCTAATTACCGATATTTAAACTTCTCCAGATCCTTCTCTTGGGTTAATTCCTCTAGTTACATTGTTGTTCCTTGTTCTGCTCTTCATATCCTGTGCTCAAAAACAACATCCAGAAATAAAACATTGACATTCACAACAACAGAAAATCCCTTCTAACAAGCAGTTGTTAAACTTTTATATTTGCTAGTTGGGTACTTCACCACCTGAGATGATCTTCATAGTTTCCCACTGGTATATCACTTCTTAGAACAGGGTGTGGAGAAAGTGGATACAAATAAGTTTTATAACCCAGCTCATAATTCTTTAACTTGGAGTCATCTTATGAAATTGATTGACGTAGTTAGGACTGGTAGGAGAAAGCGCTTCATGCAAGACATAATTAAGTTATTTGATTGACTGCCCATGTTATGATGGGTGTTGACTAGCTTAGGTGGCTTTTGAAGTGACTAGACAAATTCATAAGGATAGCTCAGTCACAATGATGATTAGCCATGATATCAGGCTCAGAGACCATTTGCCACTGAATTCCAGTTGCTGGTGAACAACCCCGGGAGGAGGTCTTCCTCCTGCTTCTAAGCTTCCCGGAAGCAACTGGTGGACTGTTGTAGAGAGCAGGATAGTCTGATCTAGCTGGACTCTTACTTTCTTAATCATATTCACTTGGGTCAGCTTCCCCAGACTACGTGGATACTGTAGCTTTTTATTTACTCTTATTTCTCCCATAGAACACCTCAAAAGATCTACCTTGCCATTCCATTCTGTTGTTCTATTGTGCATTGTTCTTTCTTAGTGGTTTTGGTTGGTGTGGTTTTTTTAAGTGCAAGGAAGATAAACAGCAGGATTTGATATAATTTTGGAATTCATCTTGCTGTTCAGCAGGTTCCATCAGAAAATCTTAACATTTTCATAGAAAATATTAATGAATAAACTCAGCCTGGTGTACTTCAGTAATATTAAATAATACTTACCATTTCTATAGCACTTTCATAGTGTTCAAAGCATTTCTCATGTGTCAGGAAAATTTACAGCAGCACTGAAAGACAGGCCAGTATCATTATCTCCATGTTGTAGACGAGGAGTTGGGCGGAAAGGCAGCATAGTGAGTTTGAGGCAGAGGACTCAGCTATACAGCTGCAAAGAAAACGTTTTAAATGTGTTGTAAAGTGCAATATACAAATGTGGCATTAGATGGCGACAGTGAGCTATGCCAAATTCAATGTATTTTTCAAAACGTTTTTTGGGTGGCCACTGTAGCAACAGGATGCTGGAACAGATGGACCTTTGGCCTAATCCAACAGGCCTCTTCTTATGGTCTTATGGACACTTTTTCCACATTGGCCCTGTGAGCTTTAATGTGCAAAGATTTTGAACCTCTTCAAATTAGTTTTGCCAGAAATATTACATATAAACATCCTAATGTAATTGGCTCTTAATTCCATTGGCTCTTGAGTCTGCAAAGTTTTGGCAGTTTTCGGAATATTGGCTATTATGTTTGTAATTATGATTTCACTATGTATAGTCACGAGATCCCATTAGAATAGATGAGGTATGAATGGCGATGAAAGATAGTACACACAATACAGTTGTGAAAAATAAAGTTTCTTGTGCCTACAGCTATTCCCAGAGCTATTTTTCTAGAAAAAGAGGTGCCCAAACTCACCTCCCTCGCTTTCTTATAATGGCAGTGGCACCATCCTGAGTTCTGGCGGCGGGGGTGGGGGGGAGCCCTAGCTCTACTAATGGATTTTACAAAGACGGCTCAAATATTTTCCATGTATCTGTAAAATATGTCATGTTCTCTTGCTTTAAACAGAGCAGATGCTAATTCTCTGATTGTCAGATGAATTAAAATCATTTGAATCCTATTATTTAATATAAAGAAGAATGAGGTATAATTAATCTTTCCAATCTCTCGTAATGACTGTATTTGCAATTTTCTTTTAGGGAAGCCACGAAACAGATTGGAGCCGATGGACACCATATTTGTTAAGCAGGTTAAAGAAGGAGGGCCTGCTTTTGAAGCGGGATTATGCACAGGTAACCGTTACCTTACCTAGACATATCTGATTGGCTGGGCTGGTGTGATGTCATGAGTGTTCCAACTTCCAAGGAAGTTGTCAGAGTGTGTGTTTATGTAAGGAAACAAAATTTTTAATTAGTTGGGAGTTTCAACCTATTCAGCTATTACTGAAAGGTTTGGGATTCGGTTGTCATTATGGAAGGAAGATGTTATGTGCTGAATCCAGACCTGATTACCTGTGGGTGGGACTCCATCCATGGGATGCTCTGCTGAAGGCAGTAGGATGGTGTGATTTTTGCTGATCCTTTCTGCAGTTCCCTGTAAAGATGCTCCAGAGCACTAGGGACCAGTGTGGGAGGTGACACTGTGGTCTGCAGGGGGAATAGGAAATCAGTAAGAATCACTCCTCCAGTGGGAACCTCTGCTGAATCTCAGTCCCTTCCACAGATAAGTTTGGCTCCAGCCCATAGGGTTTAGAAAGTCATAAATGGTTCACATATTATTAGAAAAAGATGGAAAGAGTGTCATTTGTTTGTGCTTTCCCTGCTCCTCTTATAACATGTAAAGTAGGGCTTATGAATGCATGAAGTTCCTAATTAAACTTGTGGATTTCATTCTTCGGGATTATTTGTAAGTCACACATCTGAAATATTTCTGCTTTGTTTTTCTTTGTAATACTTGAACGGGTTCTCAGCTTCCGTTAATGAAGAAAACAGTGGTCTGCATATATCTCCTTTTTTCTGTGTATTTTTTTCTCTGCAGGTGACAGAATTATAAAAGTGAATGGGGAAAGTGTTATAGGGAAGACATATTCTCAAGTAATTGCTTTAATTCAAAACACGTAAGTATGGGTGTCTGTAATCTGCATAATTTTAAATTCCATGTAGTTTGTTTTGAGAAAGGTAATTGGTGCGCGGTTTGTCTGTTTTTACCAAGATAATCAGAATGATAGAATGAGTAAATCCAGTTCAACTCATTCCGCAGTGTAGGATTGGCCAGCCCTTGACACATCCAGCAGGGCCCTTCCATCAGCTGCACAAGGACTGAGGTGATCTCTGATGATTTACCATCCCCTTGTAGCTCCTGCCCCCCCCCAAACTTAAGTGGCACATTGTGAGAGGTGGCACAGAAACTGCATGGAAGAGGGAGACCCTCAGAAGTTCACCACAATCCGTGTTCTACTGACCAAAGCTTTCTGAGATGAAACACCTTCCATCAGCAGAGGGACACCAATTGGAATACAACCCATTGAAAGTGTAGGGATGTGCTGTGGATAATGTCATTGTGAAGTTTTTTATTCTTTTGATACTGAGCCAACTTTGACTGTGCAGCAGATGTAAAAGTAAAAGCAAGTTAGGTGTTTGATCAGTGCTCTACATAACAATTCATAGGACTACACCTCATATTATGTTCAATCTTTCATATCCATTCTGTGGGTGACATTTCATATGACCATACTGGAGGAAGATAAAGCTTGCTAAGAAAATGGCTTATAACATTTCCATAAAGGCTTGACATTTGTTGGTATTATTCCATGAGCAGTTTAGAATGTTTAACAATTATTTAGGAAAAGTTATTTTATTAGCAGCTTTTTGGTGGTGATGGGAAATTGAATCTAATACTGTATTTGTTTCTGAGAATGTTTTGCTGATAAATATCTGTACTTGACATACACAGGGGCTGTGTCTGAACATCACACTAAACCAGTGGGATGAGAACAAGCTGCAGCAAGCCTTGGGCTTGTACGCTTCCCCACAACCACTAATGAAGAGCAGTTTGGAAGTTTTTGCTTCCATTTTCTGTTAACCACAGTTTATCATGATATCTGAATCTGGACAAACTATGGATTACAAAACATGCCAACTTCAAACCATAGATTATGAAAATAGCTTGTTTAACTGGAACCTTAGTTGACATTAATCATATTTTGGATTCAGATGGCACACTAAACTGTGGTTAACCAAAATTGGAAGCAAAAGTTCCCAGTTTCCTCCTTGCAGCCATACCAGCAACATCTGGACATGTTAGCTCCTTGCCCAATATGTAAAAAATAATCTACATGGATAATCAATCTCCATGTAGGATAAAAGTGTCCGTATTGTTAGGGGTGCAAGTGTATTTTCTCATAGTGAGTACATGAATAAGACAGGCTCTGTGCATATCAGCTACTTGATCTGTGTGCTTTTGATTCTAAAAACACCTGTGCCGCACATTATAAGTGGCAACTGACGTATTTTTTCCTGCATAGAAAATTTTAATTTTCTTAAAGGGAAGCAGTCAAGAATTTGAGGCATAATTTGAAGGAGAATAACAATCCATGGGAGTAAAGAGGAAAATGAGCATTATATTCAGTGCTGGTTGTTGAGAAAGAGTGACTACTGAGATAATCAATGTATCTCTTTATATGTTAGCCAGCAATTAAATTTCCTATCAATTGGTTAGTGCAGTATTTTATTTTTTATTAATATACCAATATGTTTCCTCCTCTCTCACAGTGACAGCATGCTAGAACTTAGTGTGATGCCAAAAGATGAAGACATCCTTCAGCTGGTAAGTTATACTTCTGAAATAGAAACTAAAGTAAGATGGCCGTAAGCACCCCAGAAAACTTTTGGCTCTTTAACCAGGCTCTTGAGTAAGCTGAATTGCTGAATAATGCTACTACTATAGTTGTAATGTCCATGCCTTCTTTTCTTAATTTGTTGTTTCATTAGTTCTAGAAACACACAGGGTAAAGAATAAGCACACAGTCGTACATTGGTTCTCAAATGGAATCTGTTCCGGAAGTCCGTTCAATTTCCGAAAACATTCGAAAACCAAGGCACGGCTTCCGATTGGCTGCAGGAGCTTCCTGCACTCAATTGGAAGTCGTGGAAGCAGTGTCGGATGTTCGGGTTCCAAAGAATATTTGCAAACTGGAACACTCACTTCCAGGTTTGCGGCATTCGGGAGGCAAAACGTACGAGTACCAAGGTACAACTGTATATGAAACTGTATATGAAATGAACATGTGGGGACGGGGAGCCTTCCCACCCTTTGAATGCTTGAAGGAACATATACCACGAACCACTGAAATGAAGTAAATAATAATAATAATAATAATAATAATAATAATATAATTTTTATTTATACCCCACCCTCCCCAGCCAAGGCATGGCAATGAATAAAATCTAAAGCCACGCTCTGATCTGAGTTGAAGGTAGAAATACCTGTGATGATAATCTTCAGCAAAAATGGGTGCACAAAGGCCAGTAGTAAATGAGCTGTTATTCCAGCAAGAAATTAAAGCTCATTTTAAAAGTTGGACTGAAGGAACCCAGTCAGGTCCCTCTTTACTCTGTAAAAAACAAAATTTTGATTTTGTTTTGTTTTCTGTCAGGTAAGCATCCACTTGAAAGTTAGATACAAGTTTCATTGCTTTCACTGGGACTTTGTTAAAAGGAAGGGCCAATTGTCATTCTCTTAATGGAGAATGTGTGCATTCAAACCCACCTCTGATTGGCTTCAATTTTTCAGGAATTCATACAAGCAGGGGTACATAGAGACCTCTTCCTTCATCGCATGTTCCTAGCAAGGAGAGAGCTAATTGCAGCCACTCTTCCTTGCCTTTTCAGCAGTGTGAATTCATTTTGGATTAAAGTAGTTCACTGTGCTAGCTCTATTTCTTGTTAATTTGAACTAAAATTATTATGGCCTTTTCAGTGAAGCAGGACTTCAGTATACTGTGTTAACTGGTTTCAACCACAGAGAACAAGTGCAATGGGGAGGGGGGGGGAGAGAAATGAGATTACTTTGGCTCTTAAATTAGGAGGAGGCATCATATGCTTTAAATTTGAATGCTTTAAATGTTGACCCAAAGAGCTAGAACTGGACCAAGTTATAGGTAGTAAACACCAGGTTTTACTTCAGAAATGTTTGGTTTGTGTATTAAATTTCTTATATAACCTTTTTCTAAAACAAGACTCAAGGCATCTTACAACAGGTTCTGGTATACCATATTTTTCCGTGTATAAGACACCCCCTATTTTTGGGGACTCCAAAATAAGAAAACACCCCTCAGCACTACCCGTGTATAAGACGAGCCCCAATTTTAAACCTAATTTTTTGGTTTAAAAAACCCCCTAGTCTTATACACGGAGACATACGGTACTTTGAAATTAAAAACAAAAGCAATATAACAACTAAGGAAATAAAGGTTACCTCATAATGCAAGAGGACTCTTAGCGAAATGTAGGATAGATGTTGGGACATTTTAAGTGGACTTTTTTCATAGGATAGCATTTCAAGCATAAAATCTTGTAGAAAGTCTGTTTTAACAGAACACATGAAACATTTACAGTAAACCCAAATTTAGCGTTTAAACGGGAGGAGAGGGGCTAATAATGCTTCTCCTTAATTATCAAACTGCAAGTAAATGGCCTGTATAGGGCCCAGCCATACAGGTAGAAGCTGCCAGGAAAAACCGCAGTAGTTCTTTTCCTTGTTAAGGCATCCATTACTCAGAAGCAATCCCTCCTCGTTATTAAATGCTAGTGAAAATGGATGTTAATATGATTTAGTTGAGGCTCTTATTATGTGTCTTGTGTACATCTGGTAACATGCATTTCCCTTTATACGCTTTAATAGCTCTACATTTAGGCTTGCTACCCGAAGTGTAAATCAATCCTCAAAGTGAATCTATGTTTTATCTGTAATAAAGGGGATGATTTATTTATTTATAGAACTATTACATTTTGTTTAGTAACTTTGTTAGATGCCTCTTCTAAACGAGGGCTCAAGGTGTCCTACAGTCCACTGTAAAAAAGAATGTGGAAGAACTCTGGGTATATTTTAAGACATAGTGGTGAAATAGAAAGCAAGGTGGACATGTACAAAAATATTTAATAGACAGGAAAGAAATGATACATTTTAAACTGTTTTAAAAAGTTAATAACCATCCAGGTTTGTTGAAGAACACTTGTTGCCTGCAAAACTGATAGATGCTTTCACATCACCTTGCTGAAAGTGATATTGTTTTGATTTAAGGTTTCATTTCAGCAAATTAAAGGCACATGGCACATCTTAGCATTTGTGGTTTTAAAATAAAGTACTGAAAACATGACCCTAAGGGCTATTTCCAATATACAGTGGCACCAGTCTGGCCTCTTTGAGTAACATAGGTATTCTTCTGGGGATTTTCAAAACCAATGGAAATTACTTTACTTTAAAGATGACTCTGCTCAGCTTTTATGTGTCTTACCAAGACTAAAGTCATTCTCAAAACAGTAGAAAAACTGTGTCTTATCTTTTGCTGAAATAAACTGTTGCAACAAAATGAAGAAAGGGGAAACTGTTTGTTGAATGCATTCTTCTATGTCACGGTCACCACTCTTTTATTGACTTTAAAGAATATGAAGTGGAAGGAAAGGATTTCCCCTTTGCTAGACACACTATGGTTGTGCCCATTATTAAATGAATGGATTCTCATTTCTCAGTTAGGTTACTTGGTTTTCCTAGATCACAGAGAAACATCTATGCTACATTCCTATTCCTTTAAAATACCGTATTTTTCGTTCTATAGGACGCACTTTCCCCCTCCAAAAATGAAGGGGAAATGTTTGTGCGTCCTATGGAGCGAATGCAGGCTTTCGCTGAAGCCTGGAGAGCGAGAGGGGTCGGTGCGCACCCCCCAGCCAGCCCCAAAGAGCAGATCGAAAGGAACCCAAAGCCTCCAGAGCCTTGCAGTGGGCTGCACATTTTGGGGGGTAGTTTAGCACAGGAGGAATTTGAGCTGGCCAGCAGTTACATTACTTATTCAAAGTGTTTTACCTAGAAATTGTTCCATATGCCTGCTATTGTCATTCCTGAGAGAACCAGTTAGGGAAACTTTGTGCACTCTTGCGAATACATGGTTGCTCTGAGGTAATTGGGATAGCTGTTTCCTCACATGTAGAAGGCTTCAGGTGAACGCACCTTGAACGCACAGAACACACCTTGTTTTAGAGGGGGAGAACAAGAAAAAAAATTTCCCCCCTGTTCTCCCCCTCCTATGGTCCAATAGAGCGAAAAATACGGTACATATTGCAGACTCTGCTGGAAGAGAATTGTACCTTTGGCAGATAATAGGCGTTCTGGGTTGAGAGTCCAATTCATATGTTAAAGGTGTGGCATTTCTGCCAATTCACTGATTGCTTTGGGGAAGAATACGCCATCATTCCATGAATTCATGCTGTATTCACATGTAATGCTAAATCATGGTGTAAATCAAAGACAAGCTGCAGCAAACCTCAAGCTCATAACCCTCCAGACCTCTTCTCCTGTGTGACCAAGAGAGACCAAAAACTTCTATTTTTAACTAACCACAGTTCAGTGGTGTGTTTTAACTATAACCTGTGGTTAATCTTAGCTTTTTTTTTACAGTTATAATTTGAAGTTGCCTTGTTTTAGTAAACTGTAGTTTGCACTAACCGAAGTTTGTCTGAGTTCAGACATCACAGCAAGCAAGCTATAGTTAGTTAGGGTTGCCATATCTTGAAGGGGGGGGGGGAAGGACCGTCCAAGCCTCATTCCTCACTCCCAAAAAACCTCAGACATTTCCTTTAAAATTTAAAGGTAAAGGTAAAGGGACCCCTGACCATTAGGTCCAGTCATGACCGACTCTGGGGTTGCGGCGCTCATCTCACTTTATTGGCCAAGGGAGCCGGCGTACAGCTTCCAGGTCATGTGGCCAGCATGACTAAGCCGCTTCTGGCGAACCAGAGCAGCGCAGGGAAACGCTGTTTACCTTCCCGCCGGAGTGGTACCTATTTATCTACTTGCACTTTGACGTGCTTTTGAACTGCTAGGTGGGCAGGAGCAGGGACTGAACAACGGGAGTTCACCCCATTGCAGGGATTCGAACCGCCGACCTTCTGATCGGCAAGTTCTAGGCTCTGTGGTTTAACCCACAGCGCCACCCGCGTCCCTTTTAAAATTTAAACCTACCCCCCAAATGGGCATTTTGGCCCCCTCAAAAGAGGACATGTCTGGAATTTCCCAGACGTATGGTAACGGTATAGTTAGTCCAAAGCTCCACAGAGGGAAAGGGGAAAGCACATGAGCCAGAGACTTGTCGTCTAAACACTCATGGTTTAATTAGCGTTATGTGCAAACAAGACTATAGTAAGGAATAGTTCCCTAGAAGATGACCTCCTTAGCTCTTATTCCCTTCTGAAGCTTTCTATGCAAACTTTGGATAATTTAAAGTGGATGGCATGTGTTAATCAAGAGGTTTTCATTTATAAAGTCTTAGCACAGGATCACAGTACCTCAAGGACTGCCTCTCCAAAATGAGCCAAACCAGACCCTGCAATAATAACCTGTTGAATCTCTTCATCCAGATTAGGTGGTCTTCTCACCTCCATCTTGTTTGGAATTCATTTTAGTTTGTTCACCTTCATTTGTATCGAACTGCCTCCAGACACTTGTGCAAGATTTCCACCGCTTCCTTGAAATAAGCAGATGGAAATGTGAGATAGAGTTGTGTGTCATCTGCCTGCCGATGTCAGTAACCCAAATCTCTGGATGATTCCTCATCCGCCAGCAGTTTCCTGTTGTTGTTTTTCAAATGGGAATAGAATAGAACCTTGGGGCAACTGTATAAACCAAAGCTCAAAAGCCAGGAAAAAACCTGAGTCTCTCCAGACCCAATCTAGCAAGACATCCCAGAAGAAAACCATGGTTAATGGTACTGTAAGCCGCTGAGAGGTCCATGAGAATCAATAGGTCTCAATCTCCTTATCCATTCCCCAGTGTAAATAATCCACCAGGGCGATCTTGTGTGGAGACAGAATACTTTTCGAGAATTCAGATTAACTCCCAGGCATTTCTTGAAGACCCTTTATACTGGCTGGCCTATTCAGTTTAAATTTTCTGCGCATTAGGCAGTCATTTTAATGATTGTTTTGTATATTTTTCGTGGTACGTTTATGTTTTGTTTCATTTGTATACATTGTTGCATACTGCTTTGGTGTTTTACATGAGATGGGGGTATATCAATGCTTTTATAAATAAATAAAAGCCAGATTGGAAACAGACCTAAATCATCTGTTTCCTCCGGCGCTCCTTAAGGCCATTTACTACTCTATCATCCTACTAAAAAAAAAAATTAAATTGAAACGATGCATTGGATACTGTGTGATAATTATCAAGGATAGTTGGAAGTGCAAATTTGATTTTTTCAGTAAAGGCCTTAGAACTGCCTTTTTTTCGAGACAGTGTGAACTTCCCCTTCCCATCGGTAAAGCATTCACTACCTATGAGGTTTGGGGTGGCAAGTCCATTACTGCCAGTCAAGAAGGGCAAGGATCCTGAGAGCAAGCACTAGGCCTCAAACCTTCAGATTGCACAAATGGAAAGGCCTACTAGGCCTATAACCCATGTACAATATTTCTTTCCGTTACCAGTGTTTTGAGGCTGGGTGCCTTGAAAGGGACACACCCTAGACGGGTTTCCCCCACCAGTTACTTTGGTTTTTATTTATTTATTCCCTAGTTACTTTGAGGCCTTTCCCCTCCGAGGGTGCGGCCTCCTCAGTTGTGTGTGTTTTAATTGGATCTTGGCTAGGAGCTTAATTTCCGCAGCTTGTTGCTATGGGGACATGCTACCACAGCTGCTCTTAGAAATCTCCAGGTTTTCTCCTATCAGGCATGCTCAGAATTTGCTAGCGTCCATTTCAATAAACGGAAGCAGTTGTGACAGTGAATGGCTGTGTGTCTGTCTGTGGATAGGCTTGCGGCCTTCTGTGGTCTGTGAGGATACGTTTGGTCTAAACAGTTACGGGACCATCTACGTTTTTTGTGCTTTGAATTGTGAAGCCATACTGAATAACTTCAGTAGCATATTAGTGTCCATGAAAACCTCATGGCGTAGTGGGGCAGTGCGTCTGGCTGTAATCCAGAAGGTTGGTGGTTCGAGCCCACCCAGGGGTGGCTGTGGGCAGGATTCCTGCATTGCAGGGGGTTGGACTAGATCAGTGTTTCCCAACCTTGGGCCTCCAGCTGTTTTTGAACTACAATTCCCATCATCCCTGACCACTGGTCTTGCTAGCTAGGGATGATGGGAGTTGTAGTCCAAAAACAGCTGGAGGCCCAAGGTTGGGAAACACTGGACTAGATGACCCCCGGGGTCTCTTCCAGCTCTACAATTCTACATATCATTTGGCAGATCCAGAAGCTAGGATGTAGCTGGTTGATTTAGAGGTGTATAAGTCCCGTATCTTCTTATAGCCTCTGTGGCATGATGTGTTTCCCCTGTGCTCCAGATATGAAAATAAATAAATCACAGGTTAGCACTAGTGACATCGGAGAGAGGCAGTACCAGTGGAATGGAGATGTGTAGAATAAGTAAAGGGACATATTTAATCCCCCCTTTTATTTGTTTTAAATTACCTTACACGTGTGGGAGGGAAGAGGGTAAGCCCACCTCCAGCCTGACCAGCATGAAGCCAGCAGGGTTTTGGAAGTGGTAGTCACTCAGCTACTTCGCTCCTCATTCGGGATTATGCCATAAATTTGCATCAAAATCAATAAGACCAAAGTCATTATTAATTTGTCCAATTGATTTTAGTGGGATCCAAGTTCAGCTGATTTTAATCTGGGTTTGCCTCTCTTGTTAACAGTGTGGAAAGGCTTATGGGTGGCCTTAGCATTGGACAAACTCAGCTAATTACTTCAGGGACTGGGGGCGGCAAATTGGTGCCTCCCAGGCACCCGCACACTTGCTTCAGATGCTGTCACCCGTTTGGCTTTTTCTGGGGTCACTGGAGTGCCCACCCTCTTCATGCCTTGCTCTGACAAAGGGGGTTCCTTCCCCAGTGATGTATTCTGAGTGAGGTTGCCTGTGCTGCTGCCTCTCATTTTTCATGGTGGCTAGAAATTCCTGTTTTAAAAAATAATTAGAAGCATAAGAAAAGCAGCGGCAGGGCAGGTCCTTTCCTGAGCCACCTCACTTAGAATGTCTCATTCTGAGGAGTGAATCCCTTCCACAGTGAGGAAGCATAGGCAAGCTGCCACATTAGCAGCAAAACTTATCAAAAGTGAGGGGGAGAGAAGAAGAGAGGAGGACTGGAAGCGGCTTTCCCAGGAGGTACTATGCCTTGCACTAGCCTTGGGAAGACTTTACCCTGTGTACCACAGAGGTGGGAAACCTATGGCTCTCCATTGATTGCTGGACTATAGACTCTCCTCAGTCCATGCTGGCTGAGGCTGATGGGAATTGTAGTCCACAGGTTCCCCACCCCTGCTGTATATTTATTTTATATTAAGCAGTTTTGAACTTGAAGTTGTAAATTGAATATTTTTTTTATTAAAAAAAATGCTCTTCATTAACTTTAAAAATAATGAAAATATATACTAAAATAATTATTTAGAAGAACTATGCTATATTCTGATATACTTTCGAATTTTCTTTCCCTTCATTAATACAAAACTGGTTCATTTCCTATAATTTATCATTTTAGTCATTCCCAGATTATATATATATATTCAGGCAGAGCTAATGTGGTGCATTTTTTGTGGTTTTTAAGTAGGGTATCTTGCAAACCTGCAGATTTGGGCTGAGTATATATGCCATAATTGGACTAGGGAGGCAGTATTGGCATATTTCAGAGTGTGAGCGGATGTGTTGTTTCCTTAGACTGTACCACAGCTTGCTTTTTCATGCATCTATGTCTGCTTTCCTATTTCCCCCTCCTAATCTGAAAAGTACACGAATGCAGAGTCCCCATTTTCCGTCATGAGAGAGCATGCAAAAATCAGACAGCTGTATTAGCATGCACCTTGCAATTGGAAGCACAGCCTGTCTCTGAAGAAACGCCAAAGATATACAAAATGAAAACGATCACATGGGGAGGCTGTTTTTCTCTGAGGATTATTCTGAAATCATCCTTCTAATGTCAGACGTAGAGTATGAAAGCAGCTGCAGTCAGCTGACAGCTTGTGGTTCTGTTCCGATGCATGTGGGGAAGGGGTGCATGGATTTTAAATGCATAATGAAACCCTTGTTTCGTCATCTGGAAGCAGGGATGGTAGCAGCTCAGGGGAGATGAAAGACCGTTATGTTGCTCTAGTAGAAGGGACGCCTTGTAGCACAACCAGAGGGCTCCGTTTGCAGCAGAAAAGATGCACTGAAGCAACACAGCACAACTGTCTTTTCTTTTTCTGGAAGGCTAGGGAATAAATGCAAGAAGCAGGTAAAAGCCTGAGACAGACATGCTCACAAGGAGGCTGAAGTTATTGTTTATGCTCCACTGCCCTTTACCTCTCTTGGTATCTTCCAGAGAAATCGGTGTAGATGTATTTTTAGCTTGCTGTGTATCCCGCTTCAACATGACCACATAATTCTGTCTTTACACCCATAAGCAGCTTTTACTATGTTTTCCTGTTTTCTGCCAGCTGCAGTTTTCAAAGGATGTCACAGCACTGGTAAGAAATGTACTGTAGCCATTTCTCTGATTTTTGTAAGGCATGTGTTTCTTGGTAGATCTGCAAGATGCTGGACTGTGAAAGCCTGCAAGTTGCTGAAAGCGAGCTAGATCTGTTGGTTAGCTGAATCTCAGTTGTAATATTGATTCTGTTACCTTTTAATGTGTGCCTGTGTTTTTGTTAGTTACTTGGTTTATTTCTTGCCAGTTTGCTTTTAATATTTCGTTTGCACTTAACTAATGCTGTCAGTGATATTTATTGCAGCCGTGTGTTTTAAGTACCTCGCCCTTCTCATCCTCAGCACTTTGCTCTTAGTCTAATGTTTATGGCTGCATTTGGGCTTTTACAACCTGTCTAATGCTAAGGCAGGGCATGTTGATTTGGCTGAATGGAGCATGTTATGATTTAAGCAGGAAACGCTGTAATATGATACCACACCTAAGCTGTGTTAAAAAAAAAATGTTTGGGAAAGATTTGTGCATCGGCAAGCTGTGTGCTGTCAGCTCTTTTAATTTCATATTGCCACTAAAGGAAGTGATGGCAAAGTCTAAAATAATAGCATTTGTATGTTCCGGGCAGATCTTGCATCGTTAGTTGTATGATGGTTTCAGAAATGTCTTGATGCAAGGGAAACATGCAATATGCAAAGCAAATGGTTTCCTTAGGAGTCAGGTTCTTAAAATGCAAGGTAAGATGGAAATTGTGAAGCACCTAAAGAATATATGGCTTGTGATAGTCTGCATTCCACTCTAAGGAAGTGCTTATAAATAGCTGCCTGAGCATGTATGTTGGTGGTGTATTTGGGTTAAAAAATGGCACTGCTGTGAGTAGTATGGAATTCATGGAATAAGTAACATGTAAGATTATTTGGAAGGAGGGTGGGCGTTGGCTGCCAACAAAGACATTGCCACTCTCTACTCCCATTAGATATAGTAATTGTACCTTTTAGAAAAGCAATCTGTATTGAATGCAATAGTATTTACATAGGCTATATGTTTTCTCT